TATGCCATACTAGCATCCTGATCACCACCCCATACCAGCATTCATACCACCCCATATGTCATACCAGAAGCCTGTCAGGTTGTATATATACTCATAGAATGCAGTGCCAGTCAGCCCCTGTGTCCCTGATTACTGCCTCAGTATCAGAACAATAAAATGTGCATCCAGTCCTGTCCTCTGTCACCTTGATCACCATCATACTCCATACCAACACCCTGATCATTGCCATACACCACAGCATAGCCCTGATCACCGCTATACCCAGTGGTGTATTTAGGTTTTGTGCTGCCCTAGGCAACACACAAATCGGCGAGCCTAACATTGACCAGCAACACCCTTGACTCCCACCCGAGTCAAAGGCAGACGAGTCAAGCAGACGCCTACAGTTTGCAAGAAAAAGTATGTGAACCCCTTGGGATTATGTGGAGTTTTTGCATGAATTGGGCATAAAATGTGCTCTGAACATCATCTAAGTCACAACAATAGAAGAACACAGTCTGCTGAACATAATACTACACAAACATTAGATGTTGCCATGGTTTCATTGCACATAACATGTAAACATTCACAGTGCATCATGTGAACCTTTGGACTTAATAACTGGTTGACCCTCCTTTGGCAGCAATAACCTCAACCAAACGTTTCCTGTAGTTGCAGATCAGACCTGCACAACCTGGAGTCATTTTGGACCACTCCTCTTCACAAAACTGTTTCAGTGTAGCAATATTCTTGGGATGTTTTGGTGTGAATCGCTCTCTTAAGGTCATGCCACAGCATTTCAATCGGGTTGAGGTCAGGACTCTGACTGGGCCACTCCAGAAGGCGTATTCTGTGCTGTTGCAGCCATTGTTTTGTTGAATTACTTGTATGCTTTGGGTCATTGTCCTGTTGCATCACCCATCCTCTGCGGAGCTTCAGTTGGCGGACAGATGGTCGTACGTTTTCCTGCAAAATGTCTTGATAAACTCTGGAATTCATTTTCCCATCGATGACAACAATCCGTCCAGGCCCTGAGGCAGCAAAGCAGCCCCAAACCATGATGCTCCCTCCGCCATGTTTCACAGTGGGGATGAGGTTTTTGATGTTGGTGTGCTGTGCCTTTTTTTCTCCACACATAGTGTTGTGTGTTCTTCCCAAACAACTCAATCTTGGTGTCATCTGTCCACAGTATACCCAGTAGTGCTGTGGAACATCCAGGTGCTCTTTTGCAAACTTCAAACGTGCTGCAATCTTCTTTTTGGACAGCAATGGCTTCCTCCGTGGTGTCCTCCCATGTACTCCATTCTTGTTTAATGTTTTCCTTATTGTAGTTGTGTCAACAAAAATGTTAGCATGTGCCAGAGATTTCTGTAGGTCTTTAGCTGACACTCTGGGATTCTTCTTTACCTCATGCAGCATTCTGCGCTGTGCTCATGCAGTCATTTTTACAGGACGACCACGCCTAGGGAGAGTAGCAACAGTGCTAAACTTTCTCCATTTGTAGACAGTCTGTCTTACCGTGGACACATGAACATCAAGGCTTTTGGAGATACTTTTGTAACCCTTTCCAGCTTCATGCAAGTCAACAATTCTTGATCGTAGGTCTTCTGAGAGCTCTTTTCTGCGAGGCATGGTTCACATCAGACAGTGCTTCTTGAAACCAGTAAACCCAAAACAGGTGTGTGTTTTTTAAGGGCAGGACAGCTGTCAGCAAAACACATCCAATATCATCACACTGATTGGAGTCAAGGTTGGCTCACTCCTGGCTCCAATTAGCTCTGGGAGAAGTCATTAAGCTAGGGCCTCACATACTTTTTCCTCCCTGCACTGTGAATGTTTCCATGTTATGTGCAATTAAACCATGGCAAACATCTAATGTTTGTGTAGTATTATGTTCAGCAGACTGTGTTCTTCTATTGTTGTGACTTAGATGACGTTCAGAGCACATTTTATGCCCAATTCATGCAAAACTCCACGTAATCCCAAGGGGTTCACATACTTTTCTTGCCACTGTATATGGTCGGCATCTTTTCATAGCCTGGATGACTCTGTGACGTCAGCCGACAGTGAGCTTTAGCCAGTTATAGGTTGAAAAACAGGTCACAGGAGTGCCGATCGAATTCCTGTGATCCATAGGGGAAGTATAGTCAGAAAAGCTTTGGCTATACTTCTCCTTTAACCTATCAGCATGCCTTCAGAGTTTGGGAGGAAACACAAGCACAGAAAGAACATACGGGGTATATTAACAAGGTAGTGCATACCTAATACTTGCACCATCCTAATAAACGTAGGAAACAGAGCAGATCCTGCCCCTTAATAAAAATAAGGGTGCAAGCCCCTTTGTTAATTAAGAGCTGTCAGTTCTCTGTTTTATGCTGTGTCTGTCACAGACACAGCACAGAGAGCAGTACAGCATGCTTCAGATTTCTTTGGCTGATCACCCCCTCCCACCCCCACAACTGAGTACAGGAGGGAAGAGAGCTGTGCAGGCTTAGCTTGTGTGAGTAGATGTGACAGTTCACATCCAATATGACAGTTTCAACCTTGCAGAATCTGCAACAGTTTTCTATAATGAAAACAGCTGCATTTCCTTTGTTAATTTGGAGAAGACCCTGCACCCATTTCTGTTTCACTCTGAAATAGAATCTGTTTAATTTCTGTTTGTGTAAGGGAGAGATCAGTGTTCAGCTGGTAGTGTACTAAGAGGGAAGGACACCTTAGTTTGGGGGACAAATCCTGTCTCCTTATTGGTTGGCTCTGTGTATCAGGCATAGCTTGCATGTTATCTAGCATCACAAGAAAATGTTCAGAAAATAGACCACACAAGAGTGGAGAAACCTGCATGGCAGCTAAGTGCACTTTTGTAGATCATCTACAGCACGTGTCAAACACAAGGCCCACAGGCCGAATCCGGACCACCAGGCCATTTCATGTGGATTTCGCACCTCTCCTGCAGCTGCGTCACCCCTGTTGTCTCCACTCCCACCTTGTCTCAGCAGTCAACAGCAGAGAGAGAAGAACGGAACTCCTCCGCCAGATCCAGCGTTTCTTCGTGCAGCTGCGAAGAGGCCCGTCTCTGCCTATCCCCCCCATTTCAGCAGTTGGCAACAGAGAGCTGGACAGAATTACAGATCCTGCACCTCTCCATGCAATCACAGCACTCCTCGTCTCTGCTTCCTCTGGTCTCAGTATTCAGCAGACTTCAGCAGCTGACTCCAGCCCTCCTCCAGTCCTCCACCAGACCCTGCACTTTCTGCTTCCCAGCTCTGCCCCCAGGTTCTTCCCGGCAGTAGCAAAAGGTAAAGGGGGTGCACTGTGATGAAAGGGAGGGTGGGGGACTCTTGACATCTGATGGTAAGGGGGAAGGGCTTTTGACATCATGTAAGAGGGGGTGGGGTGCTCTGGACATCTAGTCTTACAGATACAACTGGCCCTTTGAGAGCAACCGTAATGCTGATGTGATACTTCTGATCTAGAGGAACTTGAGGTAGACTTAGTCTGATGGCTGTCATAGCCCTGCTCCAGCAATGTTGTTGTACTGTGGCTGAATTTTGTCTGCGTATGCCGAAATGAGAAATGCTTACAACATTTTAGCCTGTCATCTTGTGTCCGTTATGCTTGCATAACAAAGAGCCGTGTCTGCATTTTGCCTGTGTGGTTCATATGCAGCATTTGTTAATGACCCTCGAAGAGGTGTAGAAATATATACACACTCCAGGTGAGTGAATGAAAATATTGAAGCAATCAAGCATAACAGCCAGGCAACTAGCATTTTCAGAAGAAAGTAAATCAATATCTGCCTCTATATTTCCTTCATGACAGGTTTGTGTTAATAAGACTTTGAGGAAATCAATAATGCAGTTGCTACATGTACTCCAATAGTGTATACAGGGCATCGTTACCAGTATATGATGTATTCTATGAAAGCATTATGAGTTTTATAACCACAATGTAAGATACTAGGCAGGTTTCATATAGGCCTTCAATAGGTAGAAATAAATTTGATTCACAGTCTCTGTCCCCATTCTGTCATCTCTGTGTCACTTAATATTCTCATTGTTTTTGGTTTAATCCACTTTCAGGCTTGTTACTATCCCTTTGTGTATTGATCCAAACAATATAAGTGCTCCTGCTGATCCCTTAGGTACCTTTAGGTTTCGCCCAAGCATGTGATTATGCACCTATAAGAGAAAGTTCCAGTATAATTACATGTTGGTGGAATGACTTAGGGTTAGGTTATGACCTAATATTCTGATAACAAAGGCATATGTTGCAGTACACAACTGAAATGCTAGAATGTCTACAAGTTTTTATGATCATCTATTCCCGCACTATATACATTCATTCCCTTGATGCCTAAAGACAAAAAGCTATATGAAAAAACGTTTGAAAAATATTTCAGTGCTTGACTTTCATTTCCTATAGAAAACAGTCACATTCCTGAGATGTGGACCAGTAAAAATGAATATCATGCTGAATTATTAATTGTCCAACAGTTTGGAATCATTTACAGAATCATTTACAGAATAACCTGGAATAACAATGGTCCTCCTTTTGTTATAAAATCAGTGATGTTGAAAGCATGGGCTCAGGAGCCATCACATCAGTTTTATACTGTAGTCACAAACAGTATATAACATTCATATCTGTGCATAGTGGTCAGTCCAGCTCTTCGATATTGGTTGTGTGGGTGACTGTAGAGGAAGTCTAGCCAAAACTGGACGGCACCAAAAAAAAAATCAGATGTCATCTTTCATCAGCACAGTCATGTCAAAACAATGAAAGATGATATTTGATCTGCTATTTTAATGTGAAACTGAAGTTGAAAAAAAAAATTTGCTAGGGTGTGGAGTTTGTTTTTTGTTTTCTTTTTAGAAAAAAAAATGCCTCCCAAAAAAAGATTTTCCCTAGCAAATCTCAAATCTTTCAATACATGCTGCCTGACTCTTCTATATGTATGGTTCCACAATGCACCTAGTAGCAAAAGATGGTATCATCTAACCCTGAATACAAAAAGACGTTCTCACACTTAGAGCTGTGCAAAATGTGGAATAGACTTCATCAGGAGATAATTCTAGCCAACTCTGTAGATTGTTTAAAAAATACTAGATGTGTTTCTAAATGCACAGAATATAACTGGCTATTAATATTTATAAGTAATAACCAGGGGCGGACTGACCATTTGGAAACTTGGGCACTGCCCGAGGGCCCGGGGTCAGTAGGGGGCCCCATGAGATGCCCCTGGTACCTTTTTCATAGGCTTTTTTGAGTTTGGGCAACGATACAGGGACTCCATGATCCCCCATTTCCTGGGGGCCCCATGAGTTGTCAGTCCGCCCTTGGTAATAACACTGCAGATTGTTGATCCAGGGAACTTACATTTACTTTAGAGGATGAAAAAGGATTTCTTTTCTCCCTGTCAGGGCAAATTGGACCATAAACTCTAGGAGAAAAAAAAGTTTTCCCCTGCAAGACAAAGGCATCGTATACTAGCACATTATGTGAAACTTACTGTAAGGCTTGGTTCACACTGGATGCGATTTAAAATCGCACGCTTTGTTTGCCGTGTTTTCTGAAGATTTCCCAACTAATTCTTGCATTTTCCATTGCGTTTTGTAGTGCAATTTCTATTGTAGTCTATGTGAAATTGCAACAAACTGCAGAAAAATTAATACAAGAACTACTTTTGAAATCATGCTGCAGCTAATCGCGACATTCACATTCATTAGATCCGATTTCAGGTACGATTTAAATTCCCAAATTGCACCTAAAATCGCGACAGTGTTAACCTGCCCTAAAACAAAGCCCTCCAGCAGCACGCTGTCACCACTGATAGGACTTCCATCTTCACTTGGTCCTTCTTCCAGGTTCGTGGGCTCCAGCAGCTTGAATGGCCGAGCTGCAATGATGTAACTTTGTATGGCACACAGCTCTGAAGGAACAGCATGGGCATGCACTTTTATGAGATATTTACAGTACCTACAGTACCTATACGCTTACCTGTAGGTACAAGTAAAAAAACAGACTTTACTACCACTTTAAGGCTTTTTACTTTCTTCTGGATCAACTGTGGGTTTAGTAGATGCAGTGTTTTAATTAAATTGGTTATTTATTTTTCTAATGGTGTACTTGATTTTGTAACTTTTGAACTAGATTAACTGTTTAACTATGACGTACCTTGTCTGTAAGTTGCTCAGAGCAGCATTTTTAATGTATAACAAAATGTGCTGTCGGCTACTGTTGATACATTATGTGCCTATTGATTTGTGCCAAGTGATAGGTTCACGTTAAAGTTTTTTTCCACTTTTGTAGCAAAATTAGGATACTTTATATTTGTTACATGTTCCCATTAACATAGCATAACTTTTAAAAAAATTACAATATCTGTTTACCTTTTTATGTGCTTAAAAATCCTACCTAGCTTTCCCCTTCTATGTAATTTTAATGAGGGTGTCATGCCTACTCTTAGAGTTGATGGTCAGGCCCTATAACTGACTTCTGTGGTTTTTGCCTAAAGCAGCCCCCTTTATCATAAGGCCACCGGTACTTGGTTACCCCCAGGTCTTATAAACTAGAGTGCCTGGCTACCACACCGGGGCAGGCGCAAACTTAGTACAGTAAACATGTACTTGCAGTTGGCAGACAGGCAGAGTGGTCCAGAGGCAGTCCAGGTTCAGGGAAGGTGGCATTCCGAGAGTAGTCAGGGTCAAATTTGTGGTCAAAAGGTAGGCTGAGATCAGAGCATAGTCAAAAGTCCAATCTGAGGTCAATAACAAGGAAATCCCAACTAGCTGGCAGGGCAGGGTTCTGGCGAAGGTCATGGCATGAGAACAAGGCAGGAGAACAGGGAGCTTGAATCAGGTTGCAACCACTATGACACCGAGGGCTTGGAAGGCTTAAAACAGGGTTGAACACCAACCAGAGGCTGTGTCTACATCAATTAGACACATAAGGTGGACAGTCAGACAGGGAGAGTGCAGCTCGGCAAAACCCAGGATGCTAGAATGAGACCGGCAGCTACCATGGGTCAGGGTTCATTGCACACTCCTGACAGAGGGACTAGAAAATTATGTTTAACAAAATGAACACTGTGCTGATAGACGTCATTATCCATAAATAAGATGTGCACACTGTCTCTTCTAACAAAGGGCTAAAGTTCTCCTTGTCTGGATGGTACATTGGATATTAATGCCCTTTTTTTTTAAAAAAAATGTCCAGCAGTCTGTCCCCTAATTGCAAATTGGAAGCTTTCCAGGTACTGTATGTTGTGTGAATGGGAAACACATAACAAACATATAGTAGGGGTTTCTCAAATTTGACAGCAAAAGTGGAAATACCTCTTAAGTCCTGTAGTATTATGTTGTTTTGTTACTAAATTTGTTTTCAGAAAGCCATTTAATAATTAGTAAAAATTATTAATACGCCATTTTTAAACTTTAACATAAGAAAATGTGTTCCAAGTATTGTTAAAAATCTTCTCATTTCCTAGTAACTATTACATTTCTGTCATGACAGCTTCAATTTAGTGAAATTCATGCCTCTCCTGACACAGGTATGCCAAAGAGTTTTATAGTCATGACCTTACTCACCCCTTGCAGTATTTCCCAGTAAACTAAAGATTAGTGCTAAGACCACTGCAGCTTGTGATAAGGCAGGACGAAGCAGGTAGGATAATATGAAGAGCTAAGCCTATATATCTAGCAATATGCCAGCTTTCATGCCTCAAGGCTTTCAATATTTTAGGGTAGCCAGTTGGCCAGAAAGAAACATGTTGCGAGCATGGCCAACAGTGTAGATCACATCTCTATATATCTAGGAGCGTTGTGTCATCTTTAATAATCCTTGGTTTGAATCAGCCCAGTAGCAGCTGAATGGATGCTGATTGTATTTCATACTATACTGTGTGGGTTGGTTCTGTGATCCGTGAAAGTGCTTTTGCTTGTTGTTTTTAGCCAGAAAACATAACCTGGCCTTTTACACCATGTGATAGAGACATGAACTTGTTTTTAACCTTTGTGCATTTTATTATGTTTTCATCATGCTTACAACTTTTTCCTTTTGGAAGATATCCTCATGCTTTCTTTCCTTTCACATAGTCCTTTGTCTGACGCAGTAAAATACGGCGAAAAGTGTTTTCTTAATTACGATACTAGTTCCGACACATTAGCATTGCAGCACACCAAAAGCATTATGGTGCGCCATGTCAGACAAAACGCTACTTACCTGTTTTTTGAGGAGGTTTTGGGCCATTCTATTGCATTGGCACCAGCAAAGTTGCTGCTTTCCTGTGAGATCCTGGAATAGCTAAGAATTCCCAATCTTGTGAGAATATGCTGCTGGTCTATGCAGGATAGTGCTAGGGAAAGGGTTGCAAATAGATAGGGGTTAGGTTATATTTTTATTAAATGAACTGCTTAAAGTGTATGTAAAGCCAGAATTTTTTTTGTTTTGGATAGAGTGGTGGCTGGTTAGAACCCCTGTCAGGTTATTATTGTAGTCTTTAGTCCTGCTGTGGAGATACACTCTCCCTGTTTGTCATCAGGACTGAAAGTGAGGCAAAAAACGAACAGAGATTTTGACCCATAAGAGTCAGAATACAGATAGTCCATGTCTACATATTTGTACTGAGTTAAGCCTAGTACACACAGGCTGAAGTTCAGGCAGCATAAGCCCATTCAACAGCCAATGGCTGAGAGCGCTGGCTAGATGGCTCTTGGGAAGGTTTAGAACACAATAGCACAGCAGGGGAGATCGTTATACTAACATTGGATAGTTAGTACTGCGGCTCCTCGTAAGCTGTTTTCCGTGTTTTTTGGTTTAGCCCACTGGGTTGAACTTAAAAAGAAAATAGTAGTGTGTACTAGGTTTTAGTGTCTAATTTCATGACAAGTATACTGTAGCCTCCCTGGCAGTATTCCCGAGTGTAAAGTTTCAGTACCACAAGCGGTAACCCCGAGCAACACTCGGGCTTACCATGCGACGCTGCTCCGGGATCTGTTCTTCTCTTACCTTGTCCTGCGCTCCCGCGATGTCCCTCCGGCAATGTCCTCCGGCAGATGCCGGCATCTGTCATCTGGGTTCCGTCCCCTGCGAGCGTCAGGACGTACGGGGAACGGAACGGCAGGAAATTTGAAAATGACAAAAAGTGCTATTCACTAAATTCACTAAAATCACATAGTAAAACATTACTGTATCAAAGCATTTCACATACATTTTATCCCTAGTGCTTTGTCCTGTGCCCTGCCTGCATTTTTATTGTTCTTTCTGCCTGGAAACTGAGAAATGTCCATGGTGTCCAAAAAGCATCCCTTTAGGTCAAAAGCGGGTTTAGACCAGCTAGATAACAGCGATAGTAAATCAGAACCACTTACAGAATTGAGTGATAATGATTCGTGGGGAAATTTGTCATCAGACACTGAAAACGTTTTTGCGACTTTGCTCAGTGATGTGCGAACTTGGAGCTATATTTCAAATTTCAGTGTTTTTGGTTTGATTATATTATTGAATTAAATTTATTATTATTATGTTAATATTTTTATGATTATTTATTAAATTATAATTTATGATTTCGTGTTTCAAATTTTAACATACCCGGGATGTTTACTAGACCCTTGTTCGGACAGATTTCAGTGAGTTATTCCTAAAAATTACAGGCCTACAATAAAAAAAATACATATTTCCATGCAAAAAAATGTACCGCTTTGAGCACAGAAATATGGACATAATCAGACCGCTAGGGAGGCTACGACTACAGCCTTTCCAGAAATCTCTGGATCTATTTTATACTTTTATGGTACATAATGATCATTGGAAATAAGAATATATGGTGTACAAACACATAATGTTACACCAGTGTAGTTGAGTTCTCTGCAGGCTTTTCTAATAATGGTCTACATTTGATACACTGAAAAAATGGCTTCTAATGGCCTGGAGGGTTATGGGAAAATTGCAGAAGTATAGGCCAAATTTCTTTGATAAATATATATTTCAGTGGGATGATCATTTTGTAATGCTTTCATCTCTTTAACTATAACAAGAACAAGTCTAACAACAGGGCTTGTACAGCACTTTAGTGTGTTTTTATATACTGTACATATTTATTTATTTCAGGTACTTATATAGCGCTGTCAATTTACACAGCACTTTACATATATATTGTACATTCACATCAGTCCCTAACCCTTAAGGAGCCTACAATCAAAGGTCCCTAACTTACATTCATACAAACACATACTAGGGCCAATTTAGACAGGAACCAAATAACCTCTCAGCATGTCTTTGGAGTGTGGGAGGAAACCGAAGTACCTGGAGAAAAC